AGTATGATAATATTTTATAAAACTAATCAGTTTCTCTCCTTTCAAGATAAATAAAATAGCTTTTAAAAGATTTATAGTCAGTAGTTTTCTTTTACTAGATGGGAAGGTGACTTCATATGGTGATGATGTGCTCCTGTATCACACCATGACTCTGCAGCTGAGACAAGCAGAGGTCACTCCATCTCCAGTGATTACGTTTGCGTGCAGAGGTCCAAAGAGTTGCATGTTTGGGCTTGTGGTTACCTTCAGAGGCTTCCATGGGATGTTCTGGAAATAGTCTCACCAGACCTTGTAGCAGGGTCACTGTTGGTAATGCTGGCAGATGCAGGCCTGTAGCATCTGGGTCATTGTCATGGCTCTTGCGTGGTCCTTCAGGAGGTTGATGTCTGCATCTAGAAGCGTTCCCATCATGAGTTGAGGAAGGTTTAGGTTGGATAGCAGGAAAAGATTCTTCACCCAGAAAGCAGCTGGGCACTGGAACAGGCTCCCCAGGGAAGTGGTTGTGGCACCAAGCCTGCCAGAGTTCAAGAAGCATTTGGATAACACTTTCTGGCACATAGTGTGACTCTTGGGGTGTCCTATGCAGTTCCTCGAGTTGGACTCGATGATCATAAAGGGTCCCTTCCCACTCACCATATTCTATGATTTCACCACCCTGCTTTTCATAAGCAATTCCTTTGCTCTCAAAACTGCTGGTAGTAGCCAGAGTACCAAGCTCCAGTGTCAGCCACCATGGCTTTGGTGTTTGGCTGTGGGCACATCAGCCTCAGGCTCCCTGTCCCTGCTTTTTTAGAGTCCAGAGGTGCTTGTGACTCATGACACTGCTGAGCCTGCAGGGCTGTTTATAGCATCAGTGTTCAGGACAATGTTTAGGGCACAAAGTGCACTGGCTAGCTTGCCAGTTCCTGCCCCCTCCAAAAAAAGCATTTTCAGAGTCTTTTTTTAAACAGATATGTATCCAAATAAGCATATGTTGAAACTAATGGCTTTTTATCAGATATATGGAAATCTTACCATTTGACAGCACTTTTCTCAGAGCAAGACCTTGTACTAAAAATGGCTTGGAATATTGCAACTGTGTTCTAGGAAAAAAGAAAATTAGGATTCACAGCAGAAGAGTTGGACAAAAAATGTTATGGGCATTTTAGGTGCCTAACGGTAAACGTTGCACCACTGGTTGAATAATAATCACTGTGGAGAAACATAAATTTCTGGAGAAAATATGTCCCTGCCTAAAACTTACATGTAAGATGAGATCAGGTGAATTGAATCTTGGAAAGGCTTGTTTCTGTCCATTAATGCTTAAAGGAATTTAATCTATTGGCTTGGCTGTGTAGCCATCTGAAGACTGATGAGCTGATTCCCAGCCTCTTCATTTGCTGTTCTATACCTTCATCTCTTCCTTTTGTCCACTGTTTCCAAATGAATGCTGTTTGTTCTTATGTGTCACAGGAACTTATTTTTCCTCACTGCATTTGACTTGCAAGTGAAGAATTTTGTGTTTAGGCAGTGCTAGTCCAGAAGTACTGTAGTAAAGAGCAAGTTCCTCACAGGTGCGGGAACAGCCATGGGAATGTGTAAAACTGCACATTTTCAAGTACAGGAGTGGCTGGAGAAGGTGATGGTTGTGTGATACCAGTACAAAGTACCAGCTGAAATATTTTAAATTGTAACAAGCTGGTCATAATGTGCATTTGCTTAAGAAACAATGATTAGTGTTCTGAGGACCATTTTATTAATCATTAAGTCACTAGGGCATTAATTTCTTTGGAAGGTGGAATACACTTGCATAAATTATCCAGCTTACAAATGTGTTATCTCGTGATAATGATTTCCTGAAGAACACAAATAGCCTTTAAGGTACCTCTGTGAAATATTATCTGGTTTAATTAACTACATAGTCAACTTAGTCTACAAGCATCAAACTTTCTTCATTTCTACTGAAAAGAATAGAAAAAATCCCACTCATACTCTTTTAAATATTATGGCCTTTTTATTAATGATCTGTTAAACCAGGTAAGTTTATAAAGAAACAAAAATTCAAAACATATATTTAGATTCAGGCTGTAAACTTTCTACATCATTACAGAATCACAGAATATGCTGAGTTGGAAGGGACCCAAAGGATCATTGAGTCCAACTCCTGGCCCTGCACTGGACTATCTCCAAGAGTCACACCATGGGCCCAGGAGTATTGTCCAAATGCTTCTTGAACTCTGTCAGGCTTGGTGCTGTGACCACTGCCCTGGGGAGCCTGTTCCACTGCCCAACCACCCTCTGGGTGAGGAATGTTTTTCTAATATCCAACCTAAACCTCCCCTGACACAACTTCAGACCATTCCCTCAGGTTCTGTCACTGGTCACCACAGAGAAGAGATCAGTGCCTGCCCCTCTTCTTCCTCTCATGAGGAAGTTGTGGACTGCAATGAGGTCTCCCCTCAGTCTCCTCCAGGCTGAACAGACCAAGTGACCTCAGCCGCTCCTCATACAGCTTCCCCTCTAGGCCCTTCACCATCTCCATTGCTCTCCTTTGGACAATGAGTCCTGCCTCTATGGGGTAAGTAGATACTGTGTTTTACAAGGAAAGCCCATGGAAATTGTTCAGATCATATAAAAACAGCAGTTTACTTAGTTATCAGGCATTGTAACAAAACTCTACAGCTGGCTACTATATGACAATGCAGTGCTGGCTTGTAGCTTCAGTAACTTAGGAGAACCTTTAAATGACCCTCCCTCTGTAATTTCTTTTTCTTTCAAATTCCATTTGACTCCCTTTCTACTAAGTGGAACACTGCTCTTTATTTAAATCCCAGACACAGTTTACGCTTGACCATATTTTCACTCTTTAATAAATACCTTTTGTCTGTGGCGTCCTAAAACAGAACAATACTTAATTGTATTACATAATTTACCCAGCGAGATCCACAAACACAAGTTTGTTGCAGACTATCTCACAATGGTAAAATGCATCCTTACTTTCTTCCGAAATGTCCCGTGGTTAGGTTTCAAGCACATATTTACATACACCCATCCACATTTAACCACCTAAGCCAGTATGTTTTTTTAAACATTGAGCTTTAAGTGCCCAAGAAAGTGCATGCAACAAAAGTTAAACAAATTAAATAAATAACTGTCTCTAGGAATGTAACACTATCACATCCAGGTCACATGATACAGATGTTATGTATAAATGGCAACACTGACACATTGAATCTTTCACCCTCATTCAGTCCAGAGATGCTTTTTCTCAAGATTACAGGCTTTGTCAATTACTTTGAAATTGCATCTGGGCTTTAATGTGTACAGTCGTTTGGGAATTATGAGGAGGAAGGAAATAAATTGGAAAAAATGGCACTATTGTTTATATTAAGCTAAAAATGCCTTGTTTCAAGTAGCATGTCACTTTGATTGCCGTAAGTGTTCATCTACTGTGTTATGAACTTGAGTCAATGCAGGAGGGTGGTATCCCTCTCCAGCACTATCATTCCATGGAATAGTATCTCCAGGGAGCCACAGAATGTTTTTTATTAGATGTTGAGTCAAAACCCCCATAATTTCATATTTACAGTTTTGGTTTGTTTCTTTAAGTAAAGCAACAGAAACATCTGCAGAGACCTTTTATAGTACATGTCTTAGGAAGGCTGAAGTGACCACAGAAAGGCCATTACCAGAGGTATGGTTGCCCAGCTGGTTCCAGTTCCCAGTAGACTGGCTGTATGCCATCATAATGCCATCTGTATGGAACAGGGACTGGTACAAGCTGCTGCCCGAAGGCTGGGCTGTGGTAGTACACCCTCATTCTGTGTGCTGCTACAGCTAAGGAAGTGCTGGGAGGTGAGTCTGGCAGATCATATGCCCAGAACTGAAAAGGGGAAACTTCAGCCATCCCAGGCTTAACCAGGGATATACAGCCTTGGCTTACACAGGATCCCTTGTGTGTATGCTTTGGTATGATCAGTGCTGGGCTATAGCACACAAGGTTTGCAGTAAAGTTGTGCCCTACCATGATACTGTTTTACTGTCTGCATTAGCCTCTATTTGTGTACTGGCATCAAGTGCTTTTCAACACAAACTTAGCAAAACTGATCTCTTCCCCCAGCAAAGTTGTGGTTTTGATGAAACTGCAAAGGATGTACTGTAAAGGTTTTGAGCACTTCTGTTTGAATACAAAATACAGACACAACTGCTGAAGTATGGACTTACCCTGCTGGAGGGAGTTGTACTAGTCATAGAGTGGGTGGCAGAATTTGCTTGTTAGCCATAGGTGATCCAATATACTTCTAGTGAAAGTCTGAGGCAAATGTCTCAAACACAATTAAATATTTACCACAACATTTTCAAAAATATTTGATCATCGCCCTCTTCATAAGTAAATCCTGCTGTCTGCATGCTTCACCCTTCCAACTCACACCCACAAGGTCTGATGTGAAGAGGGGCAATACTCATTACTTCTCATCTTTTCTTCTGGAGTATGTGCTGCTCCTTTTCCTACTGCTCCTCAAAGAACAGGATTGTTTGAGAAATGAGCCTCCAATACAGTAAAGAACAGTTATTTCTACTTTAGAAATGAAGATGTGATCATTTAAGGGAATTAGTTTCTTAGAAACCACATCTGAGGATTATAAAAAGTCATTGAAGGATTCAGTGGAACAGCAGGAAGGTCACATGACTGTATTAGTGTACTGAGCCTAGTCATCCAGCTTCTTGTCTTCCCCATTTGTAAAATACTGCAAAAGGCACTTGAAGTCACTTCACTCAGTCAAAATTTTAAGAGAAATAAATGCTCAGGGTTAATTCAGAGTTACCTCTTGGAAAATTAAAGAAAATGCTCCATAAGCTTCACATCTTTTGTAACGGGGCAAACCTTCCTCTGTGCAGCACTGAGTGGGGTTTTCATCTTAACTCACTTCAGTCAGTTAGAAAATAAGCATCTACTCTACCTTAGCCATTGCTCATCAGTGATGGGAGAGAGGCATGTCCAGAGGGCAACTCCTCTCTCCTAAACAGAATTTGAAACAATGTATTTGGACAAGGTGTCTTTATTGCCATGTGGAAACTACTGTGAGTTTCACTCTTAGGATTTGATTGTAAGGCCCATGTTACCACTTCGAAACCACCTTTTTCTCAGTTTTTCTGAAGAAGGTCTATCTCAGGACAGATAGCAAGACAGGCATAAATAAACCTCAAGCAGAACTCCTTTTCTTGAAATTTTGTTTGGGTTTGCAACTAAATTATTTTCTTGGTAGTAAAACTCACAGCACGAGAATTCACATCCAGACAAATAGAGTGAATGCTTCCTGGCCCCTTCCTGGCCCACTAGAGTGCCAAGAACTGTGTTCAGTGTAATGGAAAGGGAGATTCTTTTCATTCTGCCTAAACAGTGGACATAAATGCTGGAAACTCAAAGCTGTAATATCCTGCTGAAGCTCCTCATAAATAAACTCCAAATAAACAGCAACTGAGATATATCCTCCTGCCAGTCAGAAAGCCTCATGCTAACGCATTTATATTACTTTATCATATGTTCAGAAAAACAAGTTTGGATCTTCACTGGATGATAAACCAGACAAAAAGAAGCCCACTATGACATATTAACTTACTTTTAAAAGTACACTATGAAAGTTTTAGCAGCAAACAGGTTACTGTCCCATAAAATCCAAATGCACATTGTTTAAAAAAAAATTAAAAAATCAAACCAAACAGAGCAGATAACGATAGATTTGTTTGCTTGACTTTGAGTGGGAAAGAGTAATTTCTGCATTAGATTTTTGGGTTAAAATCTCATGGCTGTTGGCAATGAACAGTTACCACACATCTATGCTGTAGCCTTCTTTACAAAACCTGCATGTTAGTGGACTTTTACACATTTCTTAAGCTGATGGACACTGAGACTTTCTTTCCAAACCACTGCACATTCTGACCATGGAGAAGTTCTCCAAAGAAGTGTTTCCAGGAGGGAAGAGAACACACTCTTCAGCTTGGTGTTAGTCAGACCTCAGTTTCGGAATGCTCCCACTCTGCTTGCTTTGCTAATGAAGTTTTTCAGGAGGTCGTGGTCCATTTCTGCAAAGCCTTGAGTTTGTGTAACAACAGTTAAATGGTTTATGCAAAATCTGAAGCAAAATTCTTCCAAGTCCTAGGAACAAATTGAGATAATCTGTAATATGAATGACTGATAAAAAATATTATTATTATTATTTGTTTCAAAAACTGTCATTTAATTAGCACAGAACATACCAGACTGTTCATACCAACCCCTTTTCTAATCTGTTTGATGAAATCACAAATGATAGGAAGAAATTTGTTCACAGAAATTATTCAACAAACCCCTTTGAGAAAACAAGAATAGCCACCTAAATAAAATCAAGAACTCCATCACATTTACTGAGGTCATTAGAAAAGTTACCAGTAAGAGAAACCATCAGTTTTTCCCACATAGAACTACTAGAGCATCAATAACTCCTTTCTTTTCCTTCCTGCCCTGAATTCAGTAGTGGTCCTTTAAAAAATAGCAGATATTCTAGTCTTGCTGCAAATAAAAGCAAAATATGATGCAATATTCGATGATGCTCACTGAACACAAACTGGATGTTAGGATACACATGCCTTTTGTGGCAAACCTAGGAATTGTATCCCCCATCCACTGGGATTCCTAGATAGCAAAAAAGGTTCTGGCTTGTCCTGGTCAGGCCGAAACAGGATGCTCAGATGTTCAGCACAGGTCAGGTACAAGCCATTAAGCCATACAACCATGATTTCATGCAGCGAACTTTGCCCACTCAAACTCCTCACGACAGTGGCAATCCTTCTCTCCATGCACTGGATCAGCCTCCTTTAGTTGGTTCCTATGCACCAACTTGCTCTGAAGCAAAATGAATTACCTTCTGCAGGAAGCAGAGCTGGAGCCAGCAGCAAGGCAAATCTAAATTGGCAGTATGATCCATAAGCTATGAACTCCTCAAGGGTTACAGCAAAAAGAGGTCTTTTAACCTATGCCAATGTGATTCTATGTTAACTACACTAACATTGCAGCCTGGAGATTAATAGTACAAAGATACTCAGCAGAATACTTGTGCATTTTCCCTTTGAAACCTTTTCCTTAGATTCCATGTTTCAAGTCTATTTCCCCTGTCAAGATGTTACTAAAGCTTTAACAGAAGCACAAAATATCCTTCAAGAAATAAGGTATAACAAGTATGCACAGGAAGTCAATTGGATCTCTCATCAACAAATACTGGAAAAGTAAGAAAAGGAATGAGAATAGAAGAAGCAGCAAAAAACCACAGAGGAAACAAAAAATGTAGAAGATCAAAGACAATGACAGCAGACCTGAATGGTACTGCCAGAACCTCAGTTGCTTTACAGTCAGTGTGTGAACTTTTATGCTAACTGAAATGAACAGCAGCTGCCTTTTCTGGTGCTGATATGAAGAGGACCATAGATGATAAAAAATTCTGGTCACTACTTTTGCAGTTTCAAGAAATACTGTATCTTTATTCTGTTGTATAGAAAATGAATAATTAAAATTTGCTGCAGTGTATATTAGAAATATGCTTTAAAATAACTTGTAGCAGCAACTCTTTGTATTTTCTGAGGATAGAACAAAGTATTTTCATTCATCTTAAATTTTAAAAGTCAGTCTTCATTTAATTTGCAATGTTAAAGGCATGTGACACAGCACTATAATCTTTCACTTGCAGTGTTCACATTTAATGACAAAAAATTGAATTCTGTATTTTCAAACCTCTAAGATATTAGGCCTCTTTCATAATTCTTTTGACGGTTTTCTACTGAAGTCTTGATACACTGCACATGGTTCTCAAACCAGGAGTTACTATTACTAATGTAGTACAGTAAAAAATCCTGGCTTTGTCCATGATTCCTTAGGTAAAGGCTATTCCATGTCTTTGATAAGAGAATCTTTGCTGCACTTCCCCAAAGCAGTTCTACCACAGCCCTTTCTGAGTTGTGGCTGTAGGGAGGAGGGCAACAACGCACTTCTGAGTTTGGCCCACGCTGCAGCCAGAGCAGGGGAACTAATTCATCATCTGACAATCGTGTAAAATATTACACGTTTTGAAAGAGTAAAACACTGAACCATAGAAGGAAGAGGAGGATAACATATATTTAGTTATCTAGCCAATCTCTTTTCTTGTGTTTCAGCTGTTATAAACTCTAGAACTCTGTCCAGGCTAGTTTTACTACTTCACAATACACCTAAATATGTCTTTAACTACTCCTTAACTACTTCAGCTGATACAGGACAACTGAAAATATTTCTGCTTCAAAGATGTTTGAAACTGTTGAAAAGCTTATAACAGGAGAAACTCCAGGGTAAAGTTTTAATGACAAGTCTGCTGTTAAGAGAACCACATAATTGGGTCATGCCTTCCTGTACAGTCTTCCCTGATATGCTGGGTTTGTACCAGCACAGTACTCTGAAAGTACAACTCTTTGCCTCAGTTGCTCATGCTCTCTGTTACTGATACCTTGGTTACAAATGCAGCTGACAATCTTATTATCTCCTAACCTGTTGTTATCCCCTCTTTCAATTTACAGAACTCACTGACTTCTGGCCTCTTTGGAACTCCTACACAAATTCACCTCCTCTAGTCACCATACAGCACTGACTACTCGAAAATTCTTAACTCAGTTTTTGTTTCAGTTTCTTCTTTCTATTTGTTTCCTATACCTGGAGGGTATAGGTATATTGATCCACCATGTTATGCTTCTAGACTCTCCTCTTTTAAAACTTCATCCTACATTTCACAGCCAGGCAAAGGCAAAAACCCAAATATTTTTTAAAATAAAAACATTGTAACCAGCTACATATTCTGACTCTTCTAATAGCCAATCTTCTGTTGGGCTATATCAATTTTATTCTTGTAAAGCAGAAGGAGCCCTTAAAAGAAAGATGAGGACTTCTCAAACAACACGTTCATTCATAATGATGTCTCCTAAGTCTAAAATACATAAGCAGACCTTTTGAATAATAAAACCCACCACATCATTATTTCCACAATCAGCATAGCACTAAAAAGTTGAGAAAAGGAATACATCTTTGAAAGCTTTTGTTTACAACAAAAAGTGCTTGCAGTGCACTGATAACAAGTTGAGTGCTAGTGACACATTCCAGAGCCAAGGGCAGACCAGATGACAGGATATGGGGAGAGTAATAACAATAGGTAATTTGTTGTATGTCAGCACAATTCACTGTAAACAGTACTGCAAAAGCACTTTATTTAAGCACAAGTTTAAATAAGGAGGGACTTTACAGGTAAATACTCCCACTGCCTGTAAAAGGCAGTACCACAATGACTGTACCAGACACTGGCAGACAGAATGATCAGCTGTAGAACTTGAGGAGTGAAAGGCAGTGCAAAATCCAAAGGCAGTGAGAAATTTGCATGCCATGCCCTGACATGCCAGGAAGCGGATTAAGAACCCTGACTCACAGGTGCAAGTCAGGAGGCCAGAAAGAAAACACTAGTACCTGGTTGGTTGGTTGGTTTTTTTGTTGCTGTTTTTTTGTTTTCTTGGGAGGTTTTTTTGTTTTTTTTATAGTTTAAAAAGGAGAAAACAAACATCTGGGAAGGCAGAAAGGGAAATTAAAGTAATCATGACTCATCAATGAAATGCAGCTATGTTCATATTAAGCAGCTTCATTTCTCAGAAAACAACTGCTTGCCCGAAGAGAAATTCTTACCTGAGCTTCGTATTTGACAGCAGCAGAAAGAAGAGCAATGGCATTCTCTTCACAAATGCCTTGTTTGATCGTTTGCTGGCAAAGCTTTTTCAATCTGTTTTCTCTATACAGTGTTGCCAAATCTAGTAGCCCTGTGAAAATTCATTAAGTTAATCAATTACCATATTATTTTAGACTGAAATAATCAAAGACCTGTTATATTTTTTCCCTAGATGCATTTTTTAAGGTCCTCTATAGACATATCAAAAAAGGAACCATTTTATTACTATGCAAGTGTTCTGTTTTCTTGTTTTCTTGTTCACTGTATTGCATCTCATTCTAGGCATCAATTACTGACTTACATCCTCTTAAATTCATCTGGGGAACAGCTCCCTTTTCATTCATGATCAAATCACCACAGATACTCAAACAGAAGAGTTTTAAGATGGAATTTGTGCCTTTTTAAGGGAAAAAAACAGTTCTTAATAGGAGAAACAATGAGTCCTTAGTGAACATTTTGCATCTCTGATCTTATTGCATCCCCACTGCTCATTCTCCTTGAGCATCCCTTCTTCCTGACATGTGCCAAAGTCAAGATTTAAGTGCTAATAAAACTAAAATTAACAAGCCCTGCTTTCCTCACCCTATTACGATACAGAGCTTGAACTTTTCAGAAACAGTAACCTGGAGTTATTTCCATTTATGCCAAATACCTATTGCATCTTCGGGAGGGAGCCTAATGTTGTCTGTATACAGGTATTCCAGGAAGGCTCGGTAAACAGGATAAGAAAATTCACTCATTTCTATAATTTCATCATCACTATTCAATGTGGAGCGAAAATGTTCACACCTACAAAACACAAACAGAGATTGCATACTGTAAAGAGTTAAGCTTGAAAGATGTTAGTAAAGAAGTTGGTAAAGAAGTCGGCAAAAAAAAGGCAAGAAGTTGGTAAAAAAATCAGTCGTAACAGACAAAATACACAAAATAAATAGATTTGATTATTTCAGTCTAAAATAAATAGACAAAATAAACTCTAGCTACATGATTTCTTGGTTTGAACATGTTAATTTCTTTAAGCCTTATAAGGCTAATAAGCCTGATATACATAATTCAGATTTTTAATTCTGTTGTTAATATTTCATGGTAGGCTCTATTTCTACTTATAATATCTACAAGGATGACCCATGTGTTTTTTATGCCATTTTCTTAAACACATTATACATTAACTATGAATTTTATTACCTGGCTCATAACAGATAACAGATTAATTTACACAATTCTGAGATTTGACCCCAATTTCTCCAACATGAGCTAATGAAGAGGGAAATTATTAACAATTTTAGATATCGTTTCGTTTATTCCAGAGTCCATACACAATTTAGCATTAAACATTATGTTCAAGGATTAAATTATTTGAAGACACTCTCCCTCAGATCTTTCATCACCTTTTTCTTCTAAGTCTGAATACTTTGTGACAGATACAAACAAGGACAAAGCACTACCTTTGATAGCTGTAATCTGCAATTTACAGTTCACAGTAATTTACAATGCACTGTAACTTACTGTTCCTTAAAAAAACATCCTAATACATGCATTGTTTTCAAAATTTTTTGTTGAGGTAAATGAACATCACCACCCCTGATAACCTTTCCTATAACAACCACAATTTAATCAGACTTTTTTATACTACACTAATTTAGAACTCTCCCACATCTGAATTTTCTCTTCTTCTATTAAAACTTTTCTATAACAGGTAGGATGGTTTTCTTTTAGTGTCCCTGGGACAAAACTACAACAAAGACAGTATCACTTAAATACAAATGAACAATAATTATTTAACTTATCACTTAACTTCTTCACATTTGATTTTACTGGTTATTGAAAGAAATTATTTTCTTAGTATTTTGGGACTTCTAATAAAATAAAAGGAACCTCAAGTCAAAATCATAAAGAAATAAGAAGTCATTATCTAGCTTCTGGAATGTCTTTTACCACATTCTGGCATTGAGAGAGGCAGACCAAACCCCACTGTTTTGCTTCCCAGGGCCTCATGTTAAGTAGTGCTGACCATGCTATCCATCCAGCGTGGAACAGGCCTTGGGAATAGTCTGTTGCTCCAATGGCACCACATGGAAGTCAGAGAGAAGGTGGTGCACATTGCTCCCTTAAAGATTAATAAGTAAATAAATAAAAATTGGTTAGTACACATCCTCTGGTCTGCAAAGTATCTTGGAGTGACTCATCCTTTGGAGTGTCTGTCTCCCTCTCACTATCTTTCAGTGGAGACAGACCAGACACCTAATTTTGGCTGGCTAAATGCAGAGCTGATGAATCCCACCCACATGCTCATAATGTATCTGTTTCTGTGGCTTGGGCTGCCTCTCACTGAGTGGGACATTCCCTGACATTTCTCCTCCACTGCAAGCCAAGAACCACCAACAGTTGGATCTAGTTCAAGAACAGGAATAGAACAAGATGGAAAAAATTCCTCTAAAGTAGTACAGAAATGACTGGATAATAAAGAGGATCTTTACCGGCACTGCATTCATGACAATGCTCTGAACAGGCCAAATGTTGCAAAATACCATTTTAAATACATTATCCTCTGATCCAGTTGCATCTGAGACTCAAAGAAAATATTAATTTTACAGACTGTGCCTGATGCTTTATTATTCCTCCATATTATTTTGATAATCCCATATATTTAAATTCATTTTAGAATTAGACACATTTCCTTCACAGAATGCCATACAGTCTTAGAAAAGTAGAGCAAGAAAAAGGAAATAAGGGAAAGTTACATATAGTCAGATTATCACAAAAAAAGAACCTCAGGAACATTTCAGGGATACATGAGATTTGCCGAGGTATCTGATGGAGGACACATGGCATTCCAAACAAAGAGGGTGGACTATAGGCACGAGTGTAATGTACATGCAATGAATCCAGTAAAGGGAAGAAAATAGTAATACAGGTAATTGGAGTAGTAAGAGGAGAGCAGAAAAGACCAAAAAAAGGACAGGCGAGAATTGACAGGGAATTTTAATTTTATGCAGTAATATACAAGAAACCACTAACAGGACTCAGGAGCAAAAGTAGGAAGGTAAAACTGGTGATAAGCAGGATGAGATAGCCAAGCACTTTGAGAAAGAAGATAGCAAAGAGAAAAAATATTGTAACAATGAGGAGGATGAAGCAGAAGCAATTAGCAAGGCAGAAGAGATCTAAAGCAGTGTCTTTAGAATATCCCAGCAGAAACTGTTTCAGCAGTAGCAAACTAATCTCTGCTTGTTTATAACAACATGATTACTTTGTAGATCTGTGTATGTTAAGTCTCACTGTAAAGCTGAAAAACCAAAAGAGAGGCCATTTTAAAAGTCAGACTGTTTGAAAAAAGCAGAATGAGAAATTTGATAAAAAAGGGGGAAAAAAAAGATAATCTGAACAGCACCTACAGAAATTGTTGAAACAACTGAAGGGTCCTGTGGAAGGAAAGAAAGGCAAGAATAAACACAAAACCCTCAAGTCGTTTCACTGGAGGAAGCCAAGCATATAAAGGAGGAAAAACTGATTCAAACTCCTGAGAAGACAGCAGAAGGAAGTGAGCCTTTTCCTCAGTAGAAAAAGGTTATTGGAAATCAAGGTCAAGGCTATTTAGGTAGCACAGAGGATAAATGTCAGATGGAGGGAAGTGATGAAAAAACTAGTAGTAAAGCAGCATGTTTGATAATCAAAAGGAGCAATGAAATGAGGAAAAAAGACTAACAGTGAAGGATAGCAGGTGAATCCCATGGCTCAGAGAAAAGAGAGTTTGTAAAAATAAGTCAAGAATTTTTTGCAGTAATTACTCAGCACAGTGGACTATGCTACACATAGTTTGGTTTATATAGCTTATACAGTTTGTGCCTTACCTAATCTTGAGAAGAACTTTATGAACATGAATGTATTTTCCATCCACTAGAAACTTCAGGTCTGCAGTTTCAGGGTTGTCAAATTCCTTTTTTAGTGACTGGGCTACTGTTAGGTGGTCATCAGGCTCTAGAATAAAAAGGGGACTTAATAGTAAGTAGTAATCACTACACTTATCTCCCATTACAACATCATGGGTATCTGTCAGCAATTAACACTTTTAATAAGTATGACATCTCCTTAGGGCTAGTAAAAAACCCCAGCAGATGATGTGTTCTCTATGAGTTCCAGAAAAGCAAAGAAAGGGCAGCTTTCTTCAGTCCCTACTAGTTTCCTAATCCAAGTAAACATCTCTATTTAAAAACCTGTAAGTTCCATTCCTCTAACTCATCTATATAATGCCAGAAAAAAAAAGTTAACAGTCCCAGGAGTTTACTGCTGCATTTGATAGAAAAATGTTATCAGCCATTACTGAGTAAATTATTCCAAATTAAAATTGTTACTTATTATAAAATACCCAAAAGGTCAATAAAATAATCACAATACAATTTTCTAAAATGCTCCCAACAAGGAGACAGTATCTTATAGCAAAAATAAGTCTATTGCATAAACAACATATGGATTGCAGTGAAACTGCCCAGTACAATATCCCTATAAGTAAATACCAACACTAAGTTGGTATTTAGACCAACCAAGTCTATTCAAAAAGAGTAGTTTTCCCTAGATTTAATAGTGCTAGAAGCACTCTGTGTGAATGCCTGCATACTCCCGTGTGTCTTATGTATATTTGTATGTATATCCCACTCAGCATGTGACAGCTTTGAAAAGTCATCCACTGTCTGCATACAAACTTTTACCTCCTGAACTGATCCAGATCTCCATCATATTTGGCAGTATCAGAGAACTATCCTCTTTAATACTACCGAAAAAAAAAAAAATCAACAACCCACCCCCCAAACCTCATTCTTAATCCTGAAAACATTTTTTCTTCTAATACCATATAAATACATATTATGGGTTTATACAGATCTTGTGAGTCAGTAATTAGTTGTTCTCTACAGAAAATTACATAAATGCTAAGTCCTCTAACCTACCAAACTAGAAATCAAAATAGTATTCTGCTGGAAATGGAAAGACCTTCTCCACAAACTCTAGAAAAAACTTAGCACATACACACACACACTTCGATACTGTTACACTCTGTTTAGCACAATCATTTTTCATTTAATTTAGAGGATGTCACTTATGTTCAGCTATACCCAATTAGGGCAATATTATCGAACTGTGGTGGCTTACAGGTAAAATGATTGGAGCAGGTGGCGGAGAGAAATCCAGTGTAGTGATAAAATAAAATATCATTCTGAAACAATGATACTGTAAAATGCTTCGTTAGTTCTTATTTTGTACAACGTGTGGTTTATTTATTCAGACCTCTGCTATCCAAACAAGTAATCATTTTAAGCACTAATGCAAAGCTGAAGCTCTCCTTCAAAGTTAAGTGGCAATCCGGATGTCCACCGACACACATCTCCAGATGACTTCTACAGCCAGCAGAGGAAAACTGAGTAAGATTTTCAGCTTTGAAATTCTTAGAGGGAAAACAGATGCTTTTATTTGTTACAGCAGCTAAGGGGGAGCTAGAGGAAGGAAACGAAGAGGCCGTTCACACTGACAAGGCACAAAGCCAAGAAAACGCCTTAACAGTCAGTGCTAAGAACTGCATTAGAAATGTTAGAACTGCCACAAACAGGGAGTGGATTGGAATGCCTGGGTGTGGAAGCACCAGAATAAAACAGACACAGACGGGCTGTAAGCATGGCAGATGTCCATGGCACCTAGTTCAGCAAATTTAAGATCCTAGGATGCAGCTGCCTGAGGATTCTCACCACGCATAGATCAGATGACAAACAACAGTGAGTCAGTCCTGACAACTTGCCAAGGGGGGACCGGATGAAGAGGTTAGTCACTCTCAGCTCCCAGAGCATGCAAAAAGGCACATCCAAAACCAGCAAAGAGTCACTAACTAAAAGGAATTCAGGAGACATGAAAAGGGCCTGATAGCCAGCATCCTTTATCCTGTGTCATCAAAAGGAACCCTCAGATCACCTGAATATACATTTTAGTGCCGGGATGCTGGACAGACCATTTGGCACATATGAGAATGTGTGCCACAAATTTGAAAGTGCATCTGAAACTAGTTTTGTTTAAAAGTAAAGTAACCTTTTCCTCCTGTAAGGTTTCACCTTATGCTTTGGCAGAATGTTATTACAGTGTCTTAGTGTTATTTTCAAAGTGACCAAGACATCGAGGTCAAAAAAACTCCCCAAAAAACGGGCAGCTGCTACAGTAAAAAATTACTCCCAAGGTGCCATACAGCAACACAAGAGCAATAATGAAGGCATTACAGAAATGGGATGAAGCATGATGGACTCAGTACAGTTCAAATTACAAATTAAAAAATTGCTGCATTCTAGCTTTTAGCTTAAGCTCCCAGATGACACCCATAGACAACCTAATCTTTGATTAGGTCAGCAAAACTTTATTAGCAACCATTACAGGATTGGACTGTAGCTGAAGAATGAGCTTTCTGTCAGACAGTGGTATATACTTAACTCTTTCTAGTCAAGGCCAGCAAAACAGACCTTAATGTTAATCAGATATCTGCGATCCAGCAACTGGTCTCTTCAGAAGCCCAGGTCATGATTACTTGTGATGAGATTCTAAGTGCCTGTGGCTAATTCTGAAAATGGGAATTTGGGTCCCATTAGTAGTCCCTCTTAGTAGTCTACTTACAGGCATCAAAGAAAGCTTCGGCGTTCCTCAGAGTTCTGCATGGCTTCCTCAAATCTCCAAATTCAAACTCAGCTTCTCCACCCACACCATTGGACAGTAACACATAGAGGTTATACACCCACCCCTCCTCAAACCTAAGGCATTTCCCCTTAGAAATGAACCACATCATATGGTGGTTCATATGATGTGGTTCATATGAACCACCAATAAAACAGACAATTATTTAGCTCTGCCATCAGGCTTAAGCAATTTTTTACAATTCCATTTACACATATGTAATGTGTGATTATGATTATGCTTTCCAGTATAAATTTTTGCAAGAAACTAAGTTTAGGCTTCAATTACATGCAATTGTTTTATGAACTAATGATTTTATTTAGAAGATGACAGAACAAAAAAATATTTAAGCTCACCTACTGACAGCAGACGCCACATAACGGCAGGGGTAGCAAAGCAAGCAAACACATCGTCAGTGCAGGCAAAGTGAGTGAGGTGGGGGAAGGTCACGGACTGCCCTCGGCACTGGCCCCACATGTACACCTGGCCACTCTGGGTCTTGGCAGCTGATGTGTTAGCAGAGTGGCAGGCTGCAATCTCTATAACTCTGAATTTACAAGCAAACAAAGAAATTAGAGCAAGTCACTCTCATAAGAACAAAATGCAGTAAATACACTACTTTCTCCTCTCTCTCTCTGGTGCAAAATGTATTTTTAAGCATGCATGTAAGCAAGAACATTTTCTGATCAGACACAGCGAAATTAAAAGGGCTATCAATGTTTCTTCAAATAGCGTGCACTCAGTGTCTCTGTGGAAAAGCAACTTGGGAGCGAGCAGACACTGTTGCAGCAGAGCTGTGTATCTGCTGCAGGATATGCTCTGCTGACCCCCTTGGCTCCCTCAAGCAAAGCTATGATGAGTTTCAGGTCTCTGAATGTCCTCAGTGGTGCTGGGCAGTGAGGTGAGTGCCTGCATTAAGCTGTAGAGAACAAATACTTGGAGAAGATTAAGAAGGAAATGAGGAGGCATTTAAAAAAAAAATAAATTTGCATTTTGGCTTATAATTGAAAGTTAATGAAAACTTTTTTTTCTGCTCGCTTATTGGTAACAGTTATAAACTAACAATTTAAATATACTTCTTTTAATTTTTAATACTGAAGTGTCATTACTCATATAATTATTATTACTTATGTTTAATGGATTTTCATTTTGCAAATTAAAAATTAGAACCAAACAGCATTTACCAGCTGTTTCTGAGTGTCTTTTAGCTGGGCTATCTCTCTAATCCTAAGGTTGATTTAGGACTTCAAAACTCCCACTGTGGACAACGTTACACAATCCACTGTTCTGCAGTCTGAACTATTGCTTGTTTACTTGTTTTCCCAGCTGCCTAGGGAAAATGGCTGGGAAACAACTTGTTTAAAGCTGCATGCACAAATCTTGCAGGCTTTAGTGAGGCAATATTCTCACTGACACTAAGAATGCATATTTTGGCCAACAAAAGGGAAAGGCAGCATACAGCACTAAAACTTGTACTAAATTATTGCAACATTTTAATTGCTGTCAAAGTGTCCGGAAAAAAAAATCAGTTACATTTTAAGCAAAAACATGAACACACACAAAGAAATAGCAATGTTCAAGATCAGGCCATGTCTCATCACCAGTGGAGATGCCACTTCCTTACAATAATGTACACAGCCACAAGGTTAGGAGGGACATCTCACTTGTCTTATTATTCACAACAGGAGGCCAAAATCAAGACCTCAGTCTAGAAAAGACTAAGATTTTTGGCCATATACATACACAGCTTTACAACAGCAATAGAAATAACTGCCCTGCTACTCGTCAAGGACTTAAAGGAAAATATTTAGCTTGCAAAAATCTAAGCTTAATTTTTAGACAACAATACCAAGAAAGAACTCCTCCCTTTCTCTCTCTCCTGGATTATGAGCCAGATATAATAGCAGTAACAACACATAACAAGTGCAGATGTCCACTCTTCATTGTTTCTGCGCACTTTTCAAAGTAGCATATTAAAACACAATTTACATTCAGAGACAATAAAACTTTCATCATTGACTTCAAACCATGAAACTACACCACTGAAGGGAAACTGCAATTAGGGCCTATTAAGTACAGTGTGAGCCAGAGCAGAAAATAGCATATTCAGACTCGGAATATCCAGTTTTTCTTTCACAAGGATGGTTATGGGGCAGATTCAAGAACTTTCAGTGAAAATTCTGTTCACATTGAGCAGATGAACCATTGCAAAAAAATTACAGGCTACTTCTTCCAAAAATAGATTAAAAATACCATAATTTTCTGTAGCTCTTCTGAGAGTATGTCAACTAATGTCTGACTGCAGGACTATAAGTATTACCTGTCCTTATCCACAACAACTGTTGTAGGGTAAGACTGGTTACTCTTATTCCCAGTACCTAACTGGCCATATGAATTGGATCCCCAGGCATATATCTGACCTTCATCTGTTAGCACTAATGTATGTGCATGGCCACAGGCAACCTACAAGGAATAATAAAGAGAAAAAAAAAATATCTCATTTTTATGTAACAGTAAGTCAATACAGATAGATATATGTTATGCTATAGGTTAATGCTATCGATACTATACCAGTGTAAAAATTACAAATAGAGATAAGTTTATTTAAAAGGAAAGGAAAGTAGATGAGGTCACTTTGAGGAAAAAATACACCATTGAGACACCCTGATAGATAATCTCAAGAGCAGAGCAAAAGAAAAAAAAAAAGCTGGAAATTGAGAAATAAGGAAAGCTATGTGACAAATACAAAAAAATATGCAGAAAAATAAAGACTGTCTGTCTTGCACTGACCTTGCTTTATGGGCAACTGCTCCAGTGTGAATAGCTTACCACTGTAAAAACAGCTGAGGTCTCCCTGTCTGGTCCTCTCGTCCCTGACTTCCAGCCACACAAAACTACCCCCTCCCTGTGCCCGCTCTAATGCTCACTGGACCCTCTGCTGAGATAAAAGTGTTCAAGGCCAGGTTGGATGGGGCCCTGAGCAACCTGTCCAGTGGAAGGTGTACCTATCCATAGCAGGGGGGTTGGAACTAGATGACTTTTAAGGTCCCTTATGGCCCAAACCATTCTGTGATCCTATGAACTTACATTACTGGAAAAAAACTCTCACAGTAGGGTCTGAGAACCACTGGTGCCCACACGAGGTAAGCAACCAGAGCAATCAGCCAGGAAAGAGAGGGAGGACATAAAACTCTGCATCTTGATGGCAGCACACAACTGTGCGAGCTTATAACCTCTTGTAGAAACCCATGCCGTCCTGCTGAGCTGCCCTCTCAGGTACCTCACATAAGGCTGCTCAAATATCCACTTTACAATCTACATATGCAGCGCATGCCCCACATACAGACAGATACACAGTGGCAACATTAGCAGCAACAGTCTTGCTCTGATTGAGTTAATGTAACTTAGTAAAGCTAGATGGCTATCAAGAACCAATTTACATTGTTCAAAACCAGTCCACGTATCTTTATATAATCCGCAAAGCATATATACTGCAAGTACATTTAGTCCACTGACACACATGGAGCATGTGATGTGCTTTAAATGAAGTAAATCCTTGATTTATTTACTGATTGGAGGTCTTCAACATGGTACTAATCAATATCAAGCAAATGAAGTGGATGGAAATAGGATCTAAGCCAAACTTACTGGAGCACTCACTCTCTAAATAGGAGAATAAATACAGGGGAACATAATACTCACTTTATTACATTACTTGCCATCAGCAATTGTTACCAGAAAAGCTCCTGTCTACATCCTAGGCACTGAATGTAAAACTATGTAATTAAATTAGTTTCCTTTAAAAGATCTAAAAAATCCCTAATTTCCCTGAGCAAAAGCAATAAATATGATCCAAAGTTCAAAACACTTGTAAATTTTCGCTATCTTCAAAACCACTGTTTTCTAACAAACAGTATCCTCTATTTTGCTTAAATCAATTCAAAACTTTCAGTACCAATTCTGTAGATACTTTAAATATTTCTTATCACTTAAAAGAAGTTATCAGTTTGCTAGTTACACTGATGGTAGCCTAGCTATTTGGTAAAGTGTAATAACCTCCAAAGACCAAGACTAACCATGAAATCATACCAACTATTGACCAAAAGCAGTTTGAGACAATTTGTTCACTCCAAACACCAGTTAGTCACTGTGGCTGGACTGCATTTCTAAAACTGAAATTCAGTCTGCAAGACAAACAAAATGCTAAACTGCAGCAATTTTCCAGAAATGAAGGCAGGAGTTAAAGAAGAATGGGATATCCTAGAAAGACTCTTAGGATACATGTTTTTTATTCTGATAAATGGCACTTTAAACAGAGAGAGAGAGAGGACTATGTACTTCAAATGTAGCATATGCCTTTAGGATACTTTCAGTGGTTCATAAAGGGTTTGCCATGGAGCATCACACACGTACCCGCTGCACACGAATGCCTTGCAAAGCTGCGATTCGGCACGGTGTTGGCTGGTTGCCACTGCTGCCCAGTCCAAGCTGGCCATTCCCATTGTAACCCCAGACATAGACCTTAGAAGAGAGACAGGGATTTTTAACTGTTTGCTACTATCTCCTTCTTTTGAAAGCAATATAACTGTTTTAGAGTCTGAATAATAATAATTTTCTTCAATATTTCTCTCCCCACATTTCAGAATCTGTACTTTACATGTAGATACACAGACACACACATATACATACCTATATAAGCATACATATATGTATGTACATATATGTTTTTCTGCACTGCAAATTTTGGATGCCATTTCTCTTTAAAATACCAACTCACATAGAATTCTCAACTTCCACATTCACTTTGCTCTTTAAGAGTTAGATTACGTAAGACTACAATATTCTAATAAGAAGAACAGAAAATAAGTGATTCATATGCCTGACTGCCAGCACAGAGCAAATTCAGCATAATACTTCCCTTTTTCACAGACCTAATTTCTCATTCCAAAATCCTCTAACAGAAAAGAAAACACATGAAAACAAGTATAAACTGGAAGCTTGCACAACAGTCTGAGTAGGCAGCTTTACCTCTAACATAAAAAAAAGGGAAAATACTGAGCTCTGATAATTTCAGTGACATATGTTCTACTGCAAACAATCAATAGCTACTCAGTTTTAAACTGAAATGCTTGGAGAAATGGAGCTAGAGAGGATGTAGACTGTCCAAAATCTTCAGCTCACATGAACTGAAAAAACAATAACTCTACAGCCTCTTTGTATCTTTGCAAGGAGAATAAAAAAGTATGACAGAGACACAAGGGTACTGCAGTACAACAAATATACGCAATATACTTTTATTTTCTTTGTTTTCTCTTGAAATAAGGTGTGTGTATATGAGCACTGAAAATTAAAATACCATTCACTGATTATTATCACACTCAATACTTAAGATTCTAGTATAGACAATAATTTGTCTACGAATGCTCAAGACAACAGTAGGATAATGTATTAATCAGCACCTTAATTTTTACTGGAATATAGTATCGGCTCTAAAAATCAGTAAATCAGTGATATAAACTTAGTTACTTTTGCATATAAGAAAATGCAGCTGGCATGAAATGCTAAGTATACGCACATATATATTCAATATGATTTAATCCCAGAATGTATAAAAATCTGACCTTCACAATGCTATTTTTACTTTAGAACTGTATTTTTAATTAAACTTGAAATTTGATACTTGAACTCCTACAGCTCAAAGCCAACTTCAATAGTTGATATAAAATAACAGCTGCTAAATTTTATGAGAAAGTACAGAAACTGAAAAGCCTTAAACGAAATGTTAGTGAACAATTTTACCTGTTTCACTCTACCTCCTCTCTAAAGAAGAAACCACAATCAGCATGGATAGGAAGATGTGTTTAAGTATGTTGGAATGTGCAGGACAATTCAAAGATTTTTAGGAGAAGTACAAGCAGGTAGACTTGAAGGAGTCTGGAAAGGTATACTTTTCTGAGAAGTAGCTCATTACTACCAAGTTCAAAATTATCTACATGCCAAATTATTACGTAAAATAAAATTCAGCCCAAAAATTCACTTCAAATTTCTTACCTCTCCATTTTCCACCACAGCCATGGAACACATCTGTCCACAAGCTATATTAACAACTATTTTATTTTGTAGGCAGCTAGTAACTCTTCGAGGAATTGGTTGATTAGCTGTTGAACCAGATCCAACCTGGCCTGAGTTATTATAACCCCATGTGTATACCTGTTGCAAGACAATTGTCATAAAAGACAGCTCAAAGTACATATTCAAGAGAGATAAAAGCGATACAGTTCAAAGTACATATTCAAGAGAGATAAAAGCGATATGCATAAAAACCAATATTTTAAGGTCAAGTGGATGTGTTCTAGTACTAGGAAATTACTAAGAAGATAAGTAGCTTTACAATTCAATAGTTTCTAACAAAAATACGCCTATCTAAATATTTATATATCCCATTCTTTTATGTTCCTCCACTCAAAGGTAAGAGGCAACATGACAGCTGCATTAATGCTGGAACAATCCATTTCTAGTTTTCCAGAACCCAAAGCAGAATGGCTAACTCGCACAAACAGCACCTCAGAGTACATGACAGGAAACTTTTTACTTTGGCAAGTAGAATTCCTTATATGAATGTAATTTACATTAATGTCAGCTTTAATGCCATTAAGCATTTACAGTAGAATGCAACATAGGAAGGAACTGGCTTCCTTCTACAAAGAAATCATAATTTGGTATTACAAGAAGATGTGGCACAAAAACCAATATTCCCCGTGCACTTTAAATCAATTTTTATCAAACATTTGTGTTGCATCAGCACAGTGAAGACAGCAAAAAGCAAGCTTTAATGCTCTAGGTGCAGAATGTTTTCCTGTTTCTCACATATGTGAGTTTCATTACGAGAAAATAAGTATTTACTCCCGCTATTCTCACCTCTCCATCAGATGTTAACACCATAGAATGATGAGAGCCACAGGCAACTTCAATAACTTTCTTGTTCACCAAGTTAGTAGAGACTTGACAGGGAACGAAACCGTGATTTGTTGTACCATTGCCCAGCTGACTATAAGCATTGTGACCCCATGTATACACTTCTCCTTCTACAACAAAAATGCAAAGAGCTGGTTTAAAAATCTCTATTTTTCCAGTAAGTACACAATGTAAAACTACAAACTGAGAAGTCAAAGTCAATAACAATACACATATTGAAGTGTATAAATATATATATGGCCTTTGGGGCTCTTCAGCCCATGGACATATCAGTGCTACCTTCACATAGCGTTAAACACAAATGCAAAAGGATAGTATCACCATAATCATAGTAAAGGAAAACATTGCTACAAGAAAAGGGATGGTGCAATACAGAAAATAAAAGTTCCCATCTCAATTTCTTTGTTACCGACAATCAAAGTTTCTTGTCTATGCCCTGGTACTGTTTCCCACTTTGGAAAATTCAAATAGCAAGCTTACAATATGCATGAGGATGCTTGTAAGAGAAACCTACTACTATTTATTAATAAAAATTATATTATTTACTTATTATTTAAACATATTATTCATGTCCTGTATTTTGAAAAACACGCTAGTAAAATTAAGACTGCAAGATATGTCTGCTTGTGTTAGACCAATGGCTGACCCAGTGCAAAATTCTGTCTCCAACTGGTAATAGCAAAAAAAGCTCCTGTTTAAGGGAAACACAAGCCTGGTCACTCTTTGCAGTTCCCAAGCATTGACAATCACTAGAGGACAGATATTACAAGGTATTTCCAAATCTCTTTAATGTACATATATTGGCCTCTTATCTATGAATTTAACACCTTTTCATATTCACTTTCCTTTATCTGTTTTAAATCAAGTGTCCTCTAGCTACAGTAGTGCAGGACTTGATGAATAGCTGTCCCACATTCATCTTGTCTATTATCATCATCATCATTTTCTAAACCCAAATTGTGCCATAATTCCAGGAGAGCTGGGTTTGATATACAACTCCATCAGATTTCTAAGGAGATCACCAAACTCCTTATCCCTAAGAAGATTTCCCTCAGAACTATAAAGGCAAAATATGCTATACTAAACCAATATTTTTCTATAATATCTGGCTAAATCTGATCACTTTATCCTGTAAAAAGTCAACAACATTTTCTTTGTTTGACCAACATGTGAATACAAATTTCAGTGAAACAGCCACACAGAAACATACTGGAAATGACAATAATTAACACAATAATTGTGAAACACATAATGGTTCTCTGAAAGGTAAGTTAAAAAAGGCTATGCTGAATGGAAGTGATTCAAGTGAATGGAGTTATGGGTAAAAATGATCAGGGATCAGTTCTGAACCTGCTCTTTTGCAATACTTCATCATCTGGGCAAGAAGTATGAGTGTATCAGTGAGAACTGCTAGCAACAGAGCTCAGAATAATACAGACACATATATAAAAAAGGATGCAGAATGATCTGCCATGAGGACTACAGAAAATGGTGAAACATAATTGAATATAAAGAATACATTAACAGCATCATTCCCCTCACCTACTTTTAGTCATCTAATCTAGACTACTCAAAAACACTTCTATTAATGTAGAAAGAGAGACAAATGTGAATATCATCAGGCAGGCTCTAGCAGAACCTCACTGGGAACACAATATTAATAATTCGTCTTTGACAATAATGTACTTAATTATGAACAGAGGAGCCACTACCACGATGTGGATAATAGTGTCAATGCAGGAAACAAAATGCTGGGAGGCAATATAACAGGTCTTAAAAGCACATCCAAAAGTAGGTACTGGAGAGAAAAGATGAATTTTAGCTAAAGAACAGTGTTGGCACAAGAACATATGGGCATAATATTGCCACTAAGGCATTTCAAAAGCAATCAGAAGTTCCAAACAACTGAAAAGTGAAAGAAACCCCATCCTCAAGTAGTTACAAGATCAAAGTAGAGCTTGAAAAACTTTTGAAGACAACAAGCTACGAACAAAGCTAGCTGACATGTCATATTCACCAATGAAAATATGTTGGACTTAACAGCTCAGAATACCTTTCACAATTCTCTCTCTATGTTACCAGTACAGACCTTTCACATCTGTGAATGAATTAAAGTGGACTATCAGAAAAAGCAATATTCAGATAATACTTTACCTTCTGTAGCAAGAACAACATGAGGGCCACTTCCATAACTCAGACAGGCTATCTTTTTGCCACATAGGGAATCTAACCTCTTTGGTTCAATAGTACTCTGCATGTCTCCTGTTCCCAAACACCCACTGCAGTTCATGCCAAGCACAAAAACCTGTTATAAAAGAATCACAGACTTATAATTTAGGTTGGAATGGAGCCTCCTCCAAAGGTCATTTAGTCCACCCACAATGCTCAACAAAGATCTAAACAGATCAGTTGACTCAAGGCCATGTCCAGTCAATTCTTGAACATCTCCAAGGAAAAAAATTCCACAACCCCTCCAGGATTTAACCCCTCTTATGGTAATTTTTATTTTCTAGTACTGAATCAGAATTTCCCATCTGCCAGTTTATGTCTCATTCTGTCACTATGCACTTGCAAGAAATGTCAAACTCCATCTTCTCCTTATCCTCTGATTGTGATAGGAAGCCATTAATTTAAACTCAAAATGTTTTAGTAGCAAAAAAAACAATCAGACAATTTTGCATGAAACTTTCTCTAGGTATACTATCATAGTACTGGCTTGCAGAATAACTCGATACATAAGTGATTAAACATGCCATGTTCATACACACTCTTGGACAATTACCTCATCATTTTCAGTTGCATACAACACTTCATTACCAGCACTGCCAAATACACAAGCTTGACGAATTAACTTGAGCTCCTCTTGGGAACAGAGAGAAAAAATTGGCCATTTCCCAACATCCAGCATCTTCAGGGCTGACAATAATGTTGCCTCCAAGACCTGGTATTATAAAAAATGCTATCAAATACCTAGACAGAGGGAAATATATGCTTTTGCACAGCAAAAAATTAGAGAAACACCATTACCTCCTTTTTCAACCACAAATCAGTATTTTAATTCTAGAAAAATACGTGAAAGGAAGACATTAAAATAAACAAAACATATCATGATGTAGAAAGAAGGGATCTATGTTCATAGAGAAAAGTACCATAGAAGAAGTTAAATGGAGAGGTCATCATTTCATTATATTCATACAACATGACTGCTAGCTTATAGAACTCAATGTACAGTATTCTAATATAAACTATAAAGTATATATTCAGAACTTGAAATTGGTGTATTTTCCTCTGTGGCTAAAATTACTGTTAAAAGAAGAAACCAGAAAAAAAGTCTGCACAAGAATATACTTATCTTTGAAAAATATGCACTTTTGTTTTTATGCATTGAAAATGGAAACTTGAGAAAGAAAAAAGTTTCTCGAGTTTTTGCCTTTACCTCTGAAATTTACTTCTGTGTTTCAACAAGTATTGAGTCTTTGGGAACTTCCTAAGAATATTTACATTTTAAGTAAGTAGACTTTTAATAAAATAGACAGTTGAACATTTCCAAGCTTATCCAAGGACAGATTATAAGTCTACAGTTAAAGGAAAGGAGTAACAGATCTGTCCCAACATTAAAACTAGTCAAGCTAATGTCTGAATCTCATGCAACATTTCTACTGCTTTGGTATAGCATAAAGCAGAAAAATGCTGCAGTATCAACATTTAATAACAAATTCTGCATGGAGTGTGGATCAAATTTTCTTCACTGAAATTGAAAGAGGCTCTCCACGTGAGGGAAAAAAACTTTACTTGCCAAATCAGAAGATAAGCAAGAATAGATTTTACCTATCACAGGTATGATGTATTTTACCACATAACAGTGAGGACTGTATCATTAGTTTATTTCAAGCAGACTTATAAAATGATCTATTACAGTACATATTTTTTTCTACCTCTGACTGAAACAAAGATGTGAATAAATTCTAATTTGGAGTCTGAAGCATGTTATGTCAGTCATAACAATATCACTTACTATGAAAAAATACACAGAAATAGAGATAACATTTGAAAGTCAAAATATAAACCCTAAATTAATCCTGAATTAAAAGGAAATTTTTAATTTTAAAGAAACAAATATCACCTAATGACACATTTCTTTATTACATACTTCTGAGAAGAGGAAAGGAAGACTGGTCATCTTCACAAAAAAAAAAGGTTGTGGTTTTGATCACACCAGTTCTTTCTCCATCTCCTCACAGCAAATAACTGACCAATTTCAGCCAAATTTGCAAGTGAAAGGGAAGTAAGATTCTGCTGACACAATCCATTTGGCAGCAGTCAGTTGGACAAACAGACATTATGTTATTAAATAAGTCAGCGAGCAAGTAGGTCCAAGCTAATCCGAGCAAATGCTGTCCTCCATGACGCATAGAAGGCTTATCAGAGATGAAGGACCAGAATCCATACGGAATCAGTCTTCATTCATCTGCTGTTTGCAGAATAATTTGTTTTATGTCAAGAGGTTAGCATTAATTCTACAGCCCTCTTAAAATATGATAATGGATACTGAGAGCATCACAGACTGCTCTTCCAATTGCATCACCAAAGCTGCATCCCACTTTTGCTCAAGACTGGTGAAGCCTGAGGTTCAAAAGGACAGTCAGGATGTCCTTCATTTGTACAGATTCCTTTACTAGAATAATATATTGATTTCTTTACAATGTGGGCTCTAAATTCCAAATGCTCAGTGGGTCAGAACCCATTCATTTTAAATAGAAAAGTTTTTTTCTGTAACTTCCTTCTAGAAAGGACTCAAGTCCTACCCTTATAATTAGTAGGTTAAAAAAAACCCCAAACTGTAGCATTTCTTAACACTAAAATAATACACTGAAAAAAAAATCCTTAACTAATCTTATAATAAGCAGTCAAGGACATACTTATGATACTGATATTTTTTTAACAAAAGAAATAACAAAAACTTTATCAGACAAAAAAATATGCATAATCTAAATCATGCCTCTGGAATTATTAGTTACATTCAACTCAGTAAGAGTTACTCTTTCACCTTTCAATACTTTCTCCCCTTACACACTTCTCCATTATATTTTGTTTCAAGAAAATGAAAAACAGCTTGAACTATCAGCCTGCCAATATTTATATCCCATAAGTGATCAGTTCCCTCATTATATTGCATGAAGTCATGAAAGGCAGAGCTAGATCTGAATCTTAGGACACAGACCTGAATCATGTGAATATATTGTTCTTCTAATATTTTGTGGATCACTTAAGCAAGATTTTTTTTTGCAAGTATCCTTTCTTCTACCTATAGCTTTTGTTTTGTGCCCGTCTTGAAAGCTACTAGCATTTACTAAGCTACTGCTAAATGGAACCAAGCTTCTCCCTTTTGAGCAGAGCAGTACAAAACTCTCAATACAAATTCACACTCTGACCTTGGCACTGACTTCTTGAGGAGGAGGTTCATCCTCCATATGGATTTCTTCTTGTGTCCCCCTGCAGAGAGAGAACTGTGGTTAAAATCACCATATCATATTGCTGCAAAACTACATTATGAAACTATACACACTGGCTCAATATTAAGCCAGAGCTACTTGATTCTGTGGAATGAGAAAACAAGTAATAAAAAGCTCACTCAGTTCTGCTCTTATATTCAACTGTACAATTACCAGTTAGACAGACTCTGCACTTCTGTATTCTTTCATAAAATATTAATTCTTGGACAAAACAGGTTTTCCAAAACAAGTAGTAGAACTAATCATTCTGTGATTGGAAAGAAAGATGTTTTATGAACACAATACTCCAATGTATTTTTATTGCAGTATTGAGAACCTTGCTGACATAATTCTTCAAGACATTTCTTTATGTAAAGAAAAAGCACACTGGCCAGAGTATTTAATTTCTGGCCTAAGCCTTCAAATGTTTTTATTCCAGTTACGTTCTGAAAACCAATGTTAGAAAAATATTTGGGTCTGTTCAGGTTTACTGAGAGTTCTTAATATATTCATTCTACTTCAGAAAATATTGCCAGAAAATAATGACTTAAAATTACATGTCTGTAAAATTCTGACTACAGGCAAAATAACATCCAATAAACCAGTTACCAACTTACTGAGTTACTTTTCAGAGGAATACCATGCTAAAAGGAGTATCAAATGCAGCTACATAAAATGACCTAACTTACTGCTCAACGTGTTTCTTATGTAAGACTTCATGCCATAAGACCTAAGCCAAGGGCATAAAATACATGAAATTCATATGATTTAAGTATTATAAATGTTAATGATTTAACAAATATAATTTAATTTACTGAATAAACAAAAAAAATTATTTACTTAAAATGAATAAACCCCCAAATAATTGCTGCAGCTCAGCTATACTGAATATGCACACTGTTAAGCTTACTCTTTAACAAAACTCACAAATCTACATACACACAGTGTATTTCATACACTTAGTTTGGACATGAAATGATAAATTCAGCTCGTGTGAAAGTCCAGCTACTCTCTTGTCCATGTTGACTTTGAGCTTAAGGCTCAGACACGCAACCAAACTGAAATAACTTGAAGCTAAGTTATATTCCCTTTCAACTAGAGAAACTAAAGGGCTGATACAGTTGCCTACAGGTTAGCACCTATTGCTTTTTGAGATAACCTTGGGGATCCCAGCACCAAACAGTGCTGGCAGATATGATACATGACCTATAAGGTATCTGTGCCAAGCTGGAACAGCAGCTAAGAATTAAATGGCACCAGGCAGTTACACAGGTGCAACCGAGCAGAGCCCTAAATAAACACAGCCAGCCATTTACCATGCTTTGCAACTTCATGCAAACAGAGTAACCTGTTGAGCTCTTGCAGTTAAGCCATTTGTTATTTTCTTATTTTCTCCAACAACTTACTTGCACAAGAATTTGTGTACATCTTCTCTGCTTAAACTAGAAACAACTCATCTAATCAAGGCCTTTGGCATGACCACAGCCTGAGCAGGACTGTACCACTGAACTGAAGTTCTGAAACATTTAATTTCAAGTATGTGAGTAGTCCTACTGCGAAACTGATTATCAAGGCTATCCAATATTTTGCAGTATCAATTTACAGCACTGCCCAGCAACGCTGATATGGTACCCACTTCTTGGCCATCCTTAGCCTACGCTCAGCCCCCAAAGAAATAATTATTAACAACTGATTTTCTAATTTAAATAAATGTAGAATTCCACATTTTCTTCCTCAGGCCATTTGATACATAACTGATATCTGTGATTTTTCCATTTCTAATATTTCCCTTCAATTGCATCTGTTCAGACAAAAGCATGGTTTGACTTTAAAAGCACGGTTTGACTTTAAAAGCACATTATTTGTTAGTATAAAGAAAGGTACATTAGGTTCTAATCACCTCAGTTACTTAATAAAAGGTGCTCCAGTTCACTACTTTTCAGTCCCCACAAAGATGCTGACAGTTCTGCCCTGACTTCTCAAGAATAAAGATCAATTATGTCCTCGCAACTCAAAAGTTATGTTTTATCTTCTCTATAACTACGAGAAAATTACCCTGCAACTCCATTTTCAGTTTGCTCTGCAAACACAGACACCTTATTTCTGAGCAACACCATAGGAGTACGTGGGGTGACTCAAATTATACCAGTTTATTCTTTTATTCGAATTCATGTATTCTAATACAAGTATGTACTGATTGCCACATGTCTGCATAAGCAAAGGTGTTCTTTCTAAAAACCTGTAATTGATTTAAGAGTACATATTCACCCTGGGATCCCCAAAATAAAGACAGACAAAAAAAATAATATTACACCTGTTTAAGTATTATTCTTATCTGTATACCTTTAAAATACTAGTGATGATTCATATTTGCCTACTTGTAAGAATTCTCCCTCCAGAAAAATAACCATTGTATATGCAGAGTGAAGCACGGAAAAAACAGTATTTTCATCAAAATGAAGAGAAAACCCCTGTATATTTGAGTAAATCAGGTACAGAAGAAAAACATATCCTAGCTATCTCAGACAAGTTATTCGGTTCATTCATCTACTAAATCTAACAATATTCACAGAATTGCTAAAAAGCCTTACTTTAAAATAGCTAGCCACTACATCTAAAAAAAAAAAATGCAATGCTTAGTTTAGAAAGTAAAAGGGCAAGCAAAAAATATTTCCCATGTATTAAAATTCTATATAATTTTCACTAGCTGCATTCCCGCAAAAAAAATTCTAAAGTGCAGATCTAAAGGAAAAAACATCATTATTGTAAACATCCACTTCTTGAGGAAGTGCACAGCATTTTGATACAAAACTATTTATATTAAAATTTCACAATTCTCTTATCTGGAATCCAAGAACAATTAAGAATCTGTACAGCATACTCTGGCAGTCTGAGTTTAGGTCTTGGAATCTGGTAGTTCTGACCCTCGTTTCAGTCCAACCATAACAGATCTTTGGGTAAATCACACATGCTTCTGCAGTCCAGATAAGACTGAGTTAAGGAACATAAAAATACTAATTCTAACAGCCAAGCTCTATAAGCAGTCTAAGACCATTTAACCCTAAATATTTAAACTGGTTCACTGACTCATTAGAATGTAAACATTCTTGTAGATTCTCTCTCTAGGAACTTGGCAAGCAAACAAAAATTTTCAGAACTCCACTAAGTATTTCCTCCCACTTAACTTCAGCATTTATGAGTCTCATCTGCCAAATCAAAGGTCTGTCTGCAGCTTCTTCCCCAAGAACTCTAACCACAGGCCTAGGAAAAGGAAAAAGTCACAGAAAAAAATGCAACTTGATGAGACTTTTAGGAAAGGAACCTAACTTTCTCTATTCCTGATTTCTCAGCAGTCTCCTACTGAAGTAGTCATGACATAATGCTACTTTGTCCAAGCAATTTTGCAGGAGAGATAAGACAGAAATATTGCCAACATGTGCTCTGATTGAACGGGTGAGATTCCTTTCTAGGAAGAATATTTTCAAAATTATCTTCCTTTTTCATGTACATAATGTGAGTCTTTGGGATGGTGCTGTGCAGGGCTAAGGGTTGGACTTTAATCCTTGTGGTTCCCTTCCAACTCAGCATATTCTGTGATTCTCTGATTCTGTGAAATGTCACTACTTCATCTAGTGCTGACAATAAATTGACAGAACTCAGCTTGTCATTCACTCCTCCACTGATGCAGCATTTTCCATAACCAAGAAATTGCAGACCTTGACAAACAGCAACTGGTTGTTTGAAAAACTGCTGACTCCAACTAAAGCATAATCTTCTCTTCTTCCCTTCTTGCTTTATGACACCAGACTGTGAATTCTTGGCTCTGGATGCAAGTTCCACTGTCTGCCTACTAATTGCATGAGAAAATCTACGTGCAGTTTAGAAGCTAGATCCAAGAAACTCTTAAAGCCAGGAATATTTAGTCTAAGAGGCTGACATCCTTGACCTTGCAAGGTAGGCAACTGCTAGAGAAATATGTAATTAAAATTATTTGAGATAAAACAGCTTTATTGTCTCAATCTCCACAGGCAAAACTTTAGTCAGAAACATGTTGTCAGACACCACCTCTCTTTTGGCATGACATCCAGTTCCACCTGTCGGCTCCAGGGATGCACCTCCAGCATGACCCTACTGAAGTTTTCAGAGGTTCACCTACATGCAGTATGCTGTATTGGAGCTACATGATTGAAGCCTATTTGCAAAGCCCTTCTTTCCAGTATCATCATCACCCCCAAACAAAAATTGGTTGCCATGAATACAAGCAGTGAAGGACAAGATGTAAGTAACACATGGGCACATGAAAAGCAAGGAAGACAGTGGGAACACTGTCCTGTTACCCACACTTAGCAATATCCTTCAGTAGAGGTTCAATACGCCTGCAACGAAGAGCAAATACATCAGCGGAAAACATTTCGAAAGAAGTGAGAAAATGGGATAGAAAACAGAGGGCATGATTTTTCAACTTTCCAATGGTTTAAAAATAAGTGTTAGGGTCTGGTGTGAAATTTCTGCCCTAAATGACAAAATGGCTTTGAAAAATCTTATATAGATTCCTGGGGACACCTTCCACTCACCTCCAAAAAATTTAACCTTGGGATTTTGGGCTAGCAAGACAATTTGTCTAATTTGATTTTTAGAAAGTCACTTAGGACTATTAAAAGTCCTATATGATGGTAAGACAAGTGCTCATATTAAGTTTCTTTATTTTTCTCATTACTATTCCAATTACTTTTTCCACTTTAGAATTGTTTATCACCATCATTGATGTAGAACGGTGGATTGTTTACCAGCCAGCAACAAAAATGGAAGCAACTGAAAAAAAATCATCATCACCCACAAGAAGGAAAATCTTTACAACAGAAGAAAAAAAAAATCTTGTTAAATAATCAAACATTCTGTCAGACAGTCTCTTGACAACAGGATGTCATTCCCGTGTCTAACCTAATGTAGTCTAATTTAACTGAAATATAACCTGAGATACTAATGAAAAACATTTGTCCACAATTTTTATGTAGCTGATCTAAGATTTTCAGAAAACTAACTTGAAAAGTTCTTTCTCTTTGCTGAATTGTTAGCCAAACTATAAATACACTTCAGTTCCTGCAATCTATACATACACCAAACATGATAAAATACAACTGATGCAACCATTGGCTCTTGCCTATTTTAAATGCTACATAAAATGTTTTTTACCATTCAACTGATTTGGTAGAATTGAAAACTTATTCTTCATTTTGACTTTCCAATATGAAAGTTCAAGGAACTGGCTTTAGGGGAAAAAAATTATTTCAAAGACTTGATTTTAAAAGAATTTTATTAAAAATATTGACCATGTAACAGAATGAAACAATTCAAAATAATGCAGTAAATATGTGAAAGAAACAGCTATTATTTTTTTAACAAAGTTAAAGAATTGTAGTGCGGAAACTATTAAAGCTTTAGGAACTTAAGAAACACTAACAGGTCATGCAGTTGTTCAGGATAAACCACATATAAACTTCAGATGTCAGGTGCCATTGTACCTGCATGTGGAAGCCTGACTGAATATCAGTTCCATGCCATAGGAACTGCATGCCTGGAAAGATCCCTTCTGTTACTATGTAATCATAGATACTATACTACATTAGCAGAAAAACAGCATGCAAATGCACACATTTTGTTATGCTCTCTCTAAGTAGATCTGACCTAGCCTAAATTGTTTGCAGCCTACAGTTACCTGAACCAGCCAAATGCTGAGCCATACATCAGGTCTAGCTGTCCTTTGACCTCACAGTCTGTCCTAGCTGTTAAAGAAGAAATATTGATAGTTTCTACAGTTCTAACTTTTAAGCCCCTCCTTAGATGTCCACAGAAGGTCATTCTATCCTTAGACTAAGTGCTCTGATTTATAAAATATATCTTCTTAAACATTCTAAACCTCAACAAAAACATAAACATAAACATTACTAAACCACACCTGGCTTTCTTTCCTACATTCCTTGTTTACTTCAGTTTAGCACAATCTGCACATTGGAGCCGTGGTCTGTGACAGTCTCCTGCCTACACCTAAGAAGGCTACATATTGAGTCACCAAGATCTTTTTCAAGATGATGTCTAGCACAGCTCCAGCACAAATCTGGCTGGAGCATCTCTGTAACATTGGGCACTTGCCAGAGCACTTCCCATGAACCCAGCATGCAATGCCTGGGTGAGTGGGAGGATGGCAAAATCGTTCCCCAACACAAAGTCAGAATTTACGTAGGTATACACGTGAAACACACATATATAGAGGTATATACATCAAACACACACACACGTGCATATCTAAAAAAAATTCATCATATATATATGTATACACACACAAATACACACACATCACAGGTATTACATACCCAGAGCTAAGAATTCTGATAGTTTAAATATTTTTATAGTTATAGCTGTCTGCACACAAAGATACTGTATGTTAGAAAAGAGATACAATCTCCCTATATAAATTCTATAAATAGAATGTGTATATGAAGCCCACTTCCTCTATCAGTAAATGACTCTGTATCTGTCCATTTCTGTATTTAACAGTCTTCTGATAGTGGAACTGCTGAACTTTAAGTGGCAAGAGCATTGGATCAGATATAATACATAGAGGTTTCCCAACTCTTAAAAATAATTAAGAGACAAAATGTTATTCTTTGTGGTATAAGTGTGGGCTTCTAATATTATTTCTACCACTGGAGTAGTCTCCTCCAAACTGCAACAGATCACATGCATCATGATGCCAAGGTCATTTTATCTCAACTTTATCACTCAGTGGTTTTACTTCTATTATTGCTTTTATCTTACACTTCTATCTATTTTACTTACATGATTAAAGAAGCTTTAAAAAACAATTGTCTATAACTAACTGAGAATTATTGATGTCAATTCTCACTGTAGAACTGCACTTTATCTCTTAATTTTTATTTTACTTAACTATCCTTTTTCTACTCTTTATTCCTAAAATCCTTTTTGAGATGGGCAGAAGTTGTTTTCATTAGATCTTTTCTCTTTTTTTGGTTATAAATTCCAAATAGATTCTACCTTTGGCACAAGGTAGAATTTGCTTTGAACCCTCTTTACTTCTAGGGCCCTCAGGATTCCTGTACAAACAACATCACTGATTAATCCTTCTGATTTTTCTAAGTTTGCCCATCTGAAATTGAGAACTTCAAACCTGTCTCTGTTTAGTCACCTATTTTACTTCTATTTATTTTAAAATGTCCAAGATACAAGATCACAAATTAATAAACCAGCTCTTCCTGGAATTTTCCACACTGCTTACTGAGAGCAAGTCTAAAACAATTCAGTGCTCATTTGGTAAGCTTACAGTAGTTTTAAGTTTACCAATCCAGTAAGATCAACTGGATCACTATATGCCCAAATGATGCCGTTATCTGCATCTATTGGTTGTTCAGCCTGGAAAAGATGGGGTTCCAGGGAGATCTCACTGTGCCCTCTCAGTACCTAAAGAGGCCTTTTAAAAAATGAGGGAGAGCAACTTTTCACAAAGGCAGATAGTGACAGGACAAGGCAGAATGGCTTTAAACTACAAGACGACAGAATTAGATGTTAGGAAGAAATTCTTTACTCAGAGGGTGGTGAGGGCACAAGCAGATTGCCAAGAAAAGCTGTGGGTGCCCCATCCCTGGGAGTGTGCCAGGCCAGGCTTGATGTGGCCCTGGGCAACCTGGTTTAGTGAGTGGCATCCATGGCAGGGGGTTGGAACTAGATGAACTTTCAGTTGAACCTAAACCATTCTGTGATTCTATGATCTAAGAAAGAAATCCATCTGTGACATAATTCCTGATAGCATCTCCCAGTAAGTGATATTCTTATCCAAATCCAACTCCTGCAGTCTATGGCAGACGTAATCAAAAGCTCTTATAATTTTATTTTCTCAAAGCAATGATACATATGCTTGACTCTTTTTTTATCCACACAATCTCTTCCTGCTACTTTATGGTCCATCACATCATTCACATCCCACATCATTCTGACACATTTATTTCTCATATCTGGACAGCATTACCTCTCCTACCCACATTCAGCAGGGCGATTGATTCTCCACATTTCCTTTACCCCATGCTTGCATTCATATCCTTCAACACAGAATCACAGAATCATAGAATGGTTTGGCTTGGAAGGGACCTTAAAGATCATCTAGTTCCAACCCCCCTGCCATGGGCAGGGACACCTTCCACTAGACCAGGTTGCCCCATCAGATCCCCATCCAGCCTGGTCTTGAACACTTCCAGGGATGGGGCATCCACAACTTCTCTGGGCGACCTGTTCCAGTGCTTCGCCACCCTTACAGTAAAGAATTTCTTCCTCATATCTAATCTAAACCTACTCTCTTTCAATTTGAGCCCATTCCCCCTTGTGCTGTCACTACATTCTCTTGTTAAGTCTCGCCCCATCTTTTGTCAGTTCCCTTCAGGTACTGAAAGGACCATCAGTTCAGCCCAAATGGTTTCTGCTGCTGCACAAGCATGACTTCCTACAGACCTTACTCTGTTCATAACCGGGAGTAAAATCTTTTTACTAACTGTGCGCGATATTAGGAATCCACCGATATCAGAAATTTCCCTCCACAAGGAAACACGGTTCAATCCGCCCGTCTCCTACACAGCTAACGGTCCCTGGTTTCCAAAGTATTCTCTCTTTTCCTTAAAACCACAAACGGTCACCAAGCTCAGCTTGCCTAAGGTGCCGCCACCATCACACTCCTGTGCACCTGCGGGCATCAGGCACCCCCAACCACACAAACGTAACTCCTGTCAGAAGTGGAACACACGCACAGACACACAGCCCCCGCCTTCCCCGTTATCGGCCATTTCCAAACCCGGTGCCTGGGAGACGCAGCCCCGAGGAGCGCAGCACCACCCCGGCCCAGCACAGGCAGCGCCCTCCCCCTGCCCCGCTCCCCACCGACGGCCGCACGGGGAATCGAAAGACAGCGAAGGGGGGGAGCCAACCCCCTTCCCTCCCCTTCCCTCCCCGCCGTCCGCCGCAGCTTACCTTCCTTCCCCGCAGGCGGCGACGGCCCCTCCTCCCCACTCCAATGAGCCAAGGGAAGATGCTGCCACGCTCAGGCACCTCCTCACCACGAAGGCGGGGGGAGAAGGGGAAGAGGAAGGGAAGGGGTTTGGCACCTCCCAGGGATCCACCCACTGCAGCAGGAGCCTGGAAAGCGGCAGCTTCTGTCCTGCGAGCCCGGCGGGGGAAGGGCTTCTGTCCCCGCGGCAGACAGGCCGGCTGGCTGCTTGGGAATGCTGCAGGGGAGAGCAGAACTCCCAAGGCCTTGTCCCTTGTGATGACATGTCCGCTTTAGGAAGACATGGTCAGAGCGAGTACAGTGTCGAGGGAGACACCGCTTCCCTCCTCAGAATCACAGAATCAATTAGGTTGAAAAAGACCTCTGAGATCATTGAGTCCAACCCATGACCGAACACCACCACGACAACTAGACCATGGCACATACAGTCTTTCTATAAACACCTCCAGGGACAGTGACTGCACCATCTCCCTGGGCAGCCCGTTCCAGGCTGTTTCCTGGGCCTAAGTACATGTGGCAACAACACACACGGCATGAGACCTGTGGTCAAAGGCAAATGTTAGGGAAATGTTAAATAT